ATTCATACACGCGACTTCTTTCTTTCTTTTTTTTTTTCTTTCTTTCCACCATTTTATTTTTCTCTTTTTTTCCGACTTCTGCTGTCGCTCTGTTTTCCTATTCAATCTCTCTCTTTACTTTTCATATATTTCCTCTCTGCTTTTGTTTCTATCTCCCTTTCACACTCACTTACTTCTCTCTTTCACTCTTCACTCTTCTTCTCTCGTTCTTTCTTAACTCTTTTCATCTTCTTTTCTCTCATTATTCTGTATTTTATTTTTTCGGCTCCCGAGGCTCCTTTCTTAGTCAGATGTCTGTTCATCGTTCACTCGATCGTTTCCTCGTGCTTCGATATTAATGCCGAACAGATAAAATGGTCAGGCCTGGTAATAAATAACAGCTAACTCTCCTGTCATGAAGGTCATAAAAATACTGCGCTTTGCTGACATCTGACAGGGTTTTCACACTGGCGATGTTGTTACTGTTCACCAGAGTGAGACTTTTATTAGCCTCGGCGAATGTGCACATCTCTGTAATTTAAATGCAGGTGAAAAATAGAGGAAGACAGAAAAATAGCGAGTAATCACTTATTTACAATAGCCTTATGGCAGCCAATCGACTTTTGGAGAACGTTGTCATTCATTGCGAAGAATAAGAAATGTCTCTTGCGTAAGAGTCTAATCAGACCAACAATGGAGTATTGTTGCTATACCTGGATTAGAACTGCCCAATCCTTATTTTATGGCCTTGAATTCAAATGCGTTTACTCCACCTTGTGTGCGATGAATTGTTTTCAGCTCGACAGCAAATATGCTACTGACAAAACATCGAAAGCATCTCACTAAACTATCACGAATTCTATGGTAAATATTAAAACGAGCCACATTCCTTAGTTCCACCAGTTCCGGCTTTTACAGCGAGGATCTGTCATGCCACCTACACAGGGTCGAATCATCCTTGTTCCATTCGTATTTCAATGGTAAGAAGAAAGTTCCATTCAAACAGCTTGTTCTCGAGAGCCACTACTCATCAACGTTCTTATTCCATTTGTAAAGAGGAAGTTCCATTCAAACAGCTTGTTCTCGAGAGTCACTACTCATCAACGTTCTTATTCCATTTGTAAAGAGGAAGTTCCATTCAAACAGCTTGTTCTCGAGAGCCACTACTCATCAACGTTCTTATTCCATTTGTAAAGAGGAAGTTCCATTCAAACAGCTTGTTCTCGAGAGCCACTACTCATCAACGTTCTTATTCCATTTGTAAAGAGGAATTCCATTCAAACAGCTTGTTCTCGAGAGCCACTACTCATCAACGTTCTTATTCCATTTGTAAAGAGGAAGTTCCATTCAAACAGCTTCTTCCCGACTACCGCTGCACTGTGAAATAGACTCCCGTGAGGATGCTTCCATGATCACTACAATCTTAAGAGCAGCGAGAGGCTTGCGACGTCTCGTCTGTTAAGAAACGGGTTGTAGGGTGGAAAATAATTTGTCACACACAAGGACGCAGAGACGCTTTTGGACTCTCTTCAGATTGGAAAGGTAAGACTGGGCACACCTGTCCATATATGGTAGCAGTACTCCATTTTCCCACTCTTTTAAAGATAGAGGATAGCAGGAGGAGTTAAGTATTTGCTGGATTGGTATAGAGAACCGACCCTTTTTCCAGCATCTTTTGCGATGGATCGTACGTACAAGTTCCACTTGAGATCTGGGCTAAGTTTAATTTCCAATAGGCGCTCAAGACACGGGGCTTCCCGGAGGGAATGTCCGTTCATAGCGATTGGTAAAAGTTTTGGGTCCGATCGGCGAAGATAGAATGTGTTGCGGCGAGCCAGAGAGATAAACAAGTCTGTTTCCTGAAAATACCCACAACAAAATGGCGGATTTGGGATGTGAGTCCACGTAAAAATATGTTAGAAACGTAAAGAACCAATATATATATATATATATATATATATATATATATATATATATATATATATATATACAAACAAATGATAATGTATTAACAAAGGTATACAAGCGATATAGACAATAATGTGTGTAAAAAATGAATGTGGAAACTTTTTGGGTGCAAAGTATTGTGTAGGGACTGAATATGCATACGTACGTGTGTGTGAATGTATGTATTGTTCATACGTTTTCCAAAAGGAACGCGTTCTCCCTCGAGAGGTTACATGCTGACAGATAAGAAGAGAGTATTTATAGTCCGGAAAGCGTCTTCTAGAAGCAGTTTTAAAAATTAGGAGGTAACCCGATAAACGTCACTAGTTTTCGAAACACTGAATTTGACTAGCCACTCCCCCACCCACTGAGCTATTAGAGCTGGGTCAGAGGTGAGTGGCTGGATTGAGTCGCTGCGGACCCTGATAATGCAGCCATTTTTGTTGTAACGAGTGTTTTGTCTCTTTGCTGTGAGACCTTATTAACAGAGATTTGTTTGCGTGGATTATTACCACCAAAAACCTGCCTGTTACAATAATTTGCTTAGTATTCCATATAGAGTTCTCGGATTATTTATATCTTTTATTATTTTAGTTTATTTATAACAGAAAGTTCTTGAATTTAAAAGAGGTGTGTTTGCGTAGGAGTGAGCCTGCAGCCGTGTCCACTTTCGGACACACATTCCGTAACTGAATAACAGTCGTTTATTTGTGTTCTTTTCTCTATTTTTTTTTTCTTTTTTCTTTTATTTGCTTTTATTTGAGCTGACAGGATTATGGGAAGTTGCATTTTTACTGTTATGCTTTAAGTTCAACTATTGGACAATAAATTCCTCATGTTTTCGTTTGGTTGGTTTATAAATGTTGTCATAGTGACGGTGATGAAGTGTTGTGTGGCGTAGTTCGGAAATTTCTTTTTGTTTTTCGGAAATTAATCTGCTAGATGCCTTTCAAAACTTAAACAACACATTTGGTTAGAAAAAAGAATGCTGAACTGCTATGTAATATCAATTCTACAGGGTGCAGCAGAAATACCTCCCATATAATGATAACACATTAGCTCGATATAGACGCCATTGCCACTAATGTCTTGCTGTTATATAAGAAGTTATTTCTTAGAGGTATATGTGGGAGATGCTTATGGGGGATTTCTGGGAGTTATATGTGGGAGATGTTTATGGGGGATATTACTGGGAGAGATGCTTATGGGGCTATTTCTGGGAGCTATATGTGGGGGATGATTCTGGAGGGGTATTTCTGGGAGCTATATGTGGGAGATGCTTATGGGGCTATTTCTGGGAGCTATAAGTGGGAGATGCTTATGGGGGTATTTATGGGAGCTATATGTGAGGGATGATTCTGGAGGGGTATTTCTGGGAGCTATATGTGGGAGATACTTATGGAGAGGGTATTTGTGGGAGGTATTTCTGTCGCACGCTGTAACAGTGAATGCTGGACAATTATCTAAAACCAAAAAATATTTGTAAATTGTAAGAATTTTTTGGAGATAATGATTTACTGATACAATTCCTACTATTTAACCCATAGCTGGAGGAGAAAATATGGTTTCATGCCGCTCTCGAATGTATTTACACGTAAGTGAATATAACGAACCCGACTAGAATTGGAACTCGGCTCTTCGATTTCCAATTCCAAACTGTTATCATTACACCGACTCTGAGATGTGGTTCTGGAGAAGGATGCTGAGAATACCATGAACGGAATATACGAGCAACGAAGAAGTTTTACTTACATTATTTCCATTATTCGTACTCTTATCCTCATCTTCATTTCCATATTCACAATGTTTCGGCCGTTGTACGATCCGGCCTTCTTCAGGTGATTGGAATTTCGAAACGAACCTTCTTTCGTCCACTGGGGTATATTGTTTTAGTTCCACGTGCCATGCCTCATCCGGATGTCTCAGTTACTTCCCTTTAATTCAACTCTCCAAATTTTTTTTATTTATTTATTTTATCTATTTATTTATTTTTTTTTTTTTGATCAGCACTGCTGTAGCCAGGTATTGAACTCACAACTCTTTGGGTCTAGTTACTGGTTCTAACCAACACCTTTATCCACTGAACACACATGGCCCAGTGGATAAAGGCCCAGCGCTGGGCCTTTATCCACTGGGGCATTCCAATCACCGGAAGAAGGCCGGAGCCTCCAACGGCCGAAACGTTGTGAATATGGCAATGAAGAGGAGGATAACAGTTTGCATAATGTAAATAATGTAAGTAATCATAACACCTCATCTCAGAGATATAGACAGATATTGAAGAAGTTTTAAGGAAAATAAATACAAACATTTTATACGTAGAATCCTGAAATTTCTGGAATACATAATGAAGCAAGGAGGCTTAGAGAATTTGACACTGACAGGACATATTTAAGGCAAGAGGAACAGCGAGTAATCTACCTAACAAATGAGTGCAAATTGATGTCAGAACGTGTCGTGATAACAAGGAGACAACAATTACTTAGATTTACGAAGGATAAGAAGTTGTGGAGGGTTATTATCATCCACATCTGGAAAAGACACGTCACGTAAAAAGAAATCTGAAGGTGGAGCTCTTTCTAGGTGTAGTGATTTTTTTCTGATTTTCGCTTCAGTGTCCTTGGGAACACCGAGAATTCTACTTCCGGTTGTCTCAGTCAGTCTTATAGTTGCTCTCACAACAGATACTAGATCGGAGATATTAAAAGCAATACCAAGAGAGTGAAAAATCTGATAAAACCTAGTTTGTTTTGGGTTTTTTTTTTCTCTCGAATAAACAGCTTAACTCATGATAACTCTAGCTGATTGAGTGAGTGACGGTTTATCAACTCTTTACAGGTTATTTAAAGCCAGAAAATATTATTAGATTTTAAGATTTTTTTTTTTGTTTTTTTCGTGTGATAATAATGATTTACTGATACAATTCCTAGTATTTAACTAGGGGAGAAAGGGTGGTTTCTTACCTTTCCCAAGAGTATTTGTGCGTAAGTGAAGAACAAACTGTTTGGAATTCGATCTAGGCTGTCCAATTTCCAATTCCAAGCCGTTATCATTACACCAAGCACATATCCAAGCTTACAACACCTGATATTCCCAAACGGTTACCCATCTGGGTACTGACCAGACTCGACGTTGCTTAACTTCGGTGATCGTACGAGAACCGGTGTTTCAATATTATATGGCCGTAATCCGATAACTCTAATAACCATAGTGATACCTGATATTCCCAAGCAGCCACCCATAACCAAGTACTGACCAAGTTCGACGTTGCTTAACTTCAGTGATCGTATAGGAACCAGTGTTTCAACGTGATGTCGATAACTGTAGTAAACTTACTGATACCCGGTATTTCAAAGCAGTCGCCCATCTAGATATTGACTAAGCTCGACGTTGTTTAACTTCAGTACTATAACAGGTGTTTCAATGTAACATGGCTATGAGCCGATAACTGCAGTAACCATAGTGATTTCTGGTATTCCGAAGCAGTCACCCATTTAGGTATTGACCGGGCTCGACCTTGCTTAATCGTGATCGTATGAGCACGGATGTTTCAATGTGATATGGTCGTAAGGCGTTAACTGTAGTAACCATAGTGATATCTGGTATTTCCAAGCAGTCATCCATTAGGTATTGACCACGTTCGGCGTTGTTGAACTTCGGTGATCGTACGACAAGTGGTGTCTGAGCTGGTCGTAAAATTTTCACATTCCCCATCTTGTTCTGCATTTAAATATGCACAATTCATGCGGCCATCAAATACTTTAATTCCTTTCGTCATCAAATACTTAATATGACTGACAGCTAGTCATATTAAAAACCGGCTTGAATTTTTTTTATATTTTAAGCAACTTTCCGATTATATCTTTCCATAACTTTCAGCTAGACCATGAAACGGGATTAACATTTTTCGCGTCTTATTTTATGTTAAAATGATTATTAGTCACAGAGTTTATTAAATAGAAGGTGCGTGGAGTAATATTGGTGTTTATGGGATTTATACGCGACAGGAACAAAATTACAAACAATATTATACAATTACCAAGAGCATATTTTATGGCCTGAGCAAACTGAATAGAAAAAAAAACAATGTAGATATCTCCCTTTTTGTGATAACGTGATAGAATTAGGTTAGCCGAATGCTATGTTAGAATTAGTTTAGCCCAATGCTATATTAGAATTAGTTTAGCCTAATGCTATGTTAGAATAAGGTTAGTCTAATGCTATGCTAGAATTAGGTTAGCCTAATACTGTGCTAGAATTAGGTTAGCCGAATGCTATGTTAGAATTAGGTTAGCCTAATGCTATGTTAGAATAAAGTTAGTCGAATGCTATGCTAGAATTAGGTTAGTTTAATGCTATGTTAGAATTAGGTTAGCCTAATGCTATGTTAGAATTAGGTTAGCCTAATGCTGTGCTAGAGTTAGGTTAGCCTAATGCTATGTTAGAATTAGGTTAGCCTAATGCCGTGTTAGAATTCGGTTAGCCTAATATTATGCTAGAATTAGGTTAGCCTAATACTGTGCTAGAATTAGGTAGGTCTAATACTGTGCTAGAATTAGGTTAGCCTATTGCTATGTTAGAATTAGATTAGCCAAATGCTATATTAGAATTATTTTAGCCTAATGCTATGTTAGTATAATGTTAGTCTAATGCTATGCTAGAATTTGGTTAGCCTAATGCTATGTTAGAATTAGGTTAGCCTACTGCTATGCTAGAATTAGGTTAGCCTATTACTGTGCTAGAATTAGGTTAGCCTAATGCTATGTTAGAATTAGGTTAGCCTAATGCTATGTTAGAATTAGGTAAGCTTAATGTTGTGCTAGGATTAGGTTAGCCTAATACTGTGCTAGAATTACGTTCGCCTAATGCTGTGTTAGAATTATGTTAGCCTAATGCTATGTTAGAATTAGGTTAGCCGAATGCTATGTTAGAATTAGATTAGCCAAATGCTATATAAGAATTAGTTTAGCCTAATGCTATGCTAGAATTAGTTTAGCCTAATGCTATGCTAGAATTATGTTAACCTAATTCTATGTTAGAATTAGTTTAGCCTAATGCTATGTTAGGATTAAGTTAGCCTAATGCTATGTTAGAATTAGGTTAGCATAATATTGTGCTAGAATTAGGTTAGCCTAATGATATGTCAGAATTATGTTAGCCTATGGCTGTTAGAATTAGGTTAGCCTAATGCTATGCTAGAATTAGTTTAGCCTAATTTTGTGCTAGAATTAGGTTAGCCTAATGATATGCTAGAATTATTTTAGCCTAATACTGTGCTAGAATTAGGTTAGCCTAATGCTATGTTAGAATTAGCTTTGCCTAATGCGATGTTAGAATTAGTTTAGCCTAATGCTATGCTAGAATTAGTTTAGCCTAATGCTATGTTAGAATTAGGTTAGACTAATGCTATGTTAGAATTAGGTTAGCCTAATGCTATGTTTGAATTAGGTTAGCCTAATACTGTGCTAGAATTAGTTTAGCCTAATGCTATGTTAGAATTATGTTAGCCTATGGCTATGTTAGAATTAGGTTTGCCTAATGCTATGTTAGAATAAGGTTAGCCTAATCCTATGCTAGAAATAGGTTAGCCTAATGCTAGGTTAGAATTAGTTTAGCCTAATGCTATGCTAGAATCAGGTTAGCCTAATGCTATGCTAGAATGAGGTTAGGCTAATACTGTGCTAGAATTAGGTTAGCCTAATGCTATGTTAGAATTATGTTAGCCTAATGCTATGTTAGAATTAGTTTAGCCTATGGCTATATTAGAATTAGGTTAGCCTAATGCTATGCTAGAATCAGTTTTGGCTACTACAGTACTAGAATTAGGTTAGCCTAATGCTATGTTAGAATTATGTTAGCCTAATGCTATGTTAGAATTAGGTTAGCTAATGTTGTGCTATGGTTAGCCTAATGATATGTTAGAATTATGTTAGCCTATGGCTATATTAGAATAATGTTAGCCTAATGCTATGTTATAATAAGAAATGCTATGTTTTAGTTTAGCCTAATGCTATGATAGAATTAGGTTAGCCTAATGCTATGTTAGAATAAGGTTAGCCTAACCTATGCTAGAATTAGGTTAGCCTAATACTGTGCTAGAATTAGGGTTAGCCTAATGCTGCTCTAGAATTAAGTTAGTCTAATGCTATGTTAGAAATTAGTTTAGCCTAATGCTATATTTGAATAAGGTTAGCCTAATTCTATGCCAGAATAAGGTTAGCCTCATGCTGTCTTTAGAATTATTAGACTAATGCTATGTTGGGAATTAGTTTAGCCTAATGCTATGCTTTATAAATTCTGTGCTAAGGTTAGCCTAATGCTATGTTAGAATTATGTTAGCCTAATGCTATGCTAGAATTATGTTAGCCTAATGCTATGCTAGAATAAGATTAGCCTAATGCTATGCTAGAATTAGGTTAGCCTAATGCTATAGTAAATTAGATTAGCCTAATGCTATGCTAGAATTAGGTTAGCCTAATGCTATTTTAGAATTAGGTTAGCCTGATACTGTGCTTGAATTAGGTTTTAATGCTATGCTATTAGTTTAGCCTAATGCTATGTTAGAATAAGTTTAGCCTAATGCTATGCTAGAATTTGAATGCTGTCTTAGATTTAGGTTAGCCTAATGCTATGTTAGAATAAGTTTAGCTAATGCTATGCTAGAATGAGGTTAGCCTAATGCTGTCTTAGATTTAGGTTAGCCTAATGCTATGTTAGAATAAGGTTAGCCTAATGCTATGTTAGAATTAGGTTAGCCTAATGCTATGTTAGAATTAATTTAGCTAATGCTATGTTAGAATTAGGTTAGCCTAATGCTATGTTAGAATTAGGTTAGCCTAATGCTATGCTAGAATTATGTTAGAATACTGTGCTAGAATTAGGTTAGCCCTAATGCTATGTTAGAATTAGGTTGGCCTCATGCTAATTAGCTTATGTTAGAATGCTATGTTAGAATTATATTAGCCTAATGCTATATTAGTATTATGTTAGCCTAATGTTATATTAGAATTAGGTTAGCCTAATGTTGTGCTAGAATTACGTTAGCCTAATACTGTGCTAGAATTAGTTAAGCCTAATTCTATGTTAGAATTATTTTATCGTAATTCTATGTTAGAATTAGGTTAGCTTAATGCTATGTTAGAATTATATTAGCCTAATGCTATGTTAGAATTAGGTTAGCCTAATGCTATGTTAGAATTAGGTTAGCCTAATATTGTGTTAGAATTAGGTTAGCCTAATGATATGCTAGAATAGGTTTAGCCTAATGCTATGCTAGAATTAGGTTAGCCTAATGCTGTGTTAGATTTAGGTTAGCCTAATGCTATGTTAGAATTATGTTAGCCTAATGCTATGCTAGAATTAGGTTAGCCTCATTCTATGTTAGACTTATGTTAATTAATGTTATTTAGGTTAGCCTGTTAATTAGAATAAGTTTCGATATAAGGTTGTTAGCCTAATGCTATGTTAGAATTGGTTAGCCTAATGCTATGCTAGAATTAGGTTAGCCTAATGCTATGTTAGAATTAGTTTAGCCTAATGCTATGCTAGAATTAGTTAGAATATTGTGCTAGGTTTAGCCCTAATGCTATGTTAGAATTAGGTTAGCCTAATACTATGTTAGAATTAGTTTAGCCTAATGCTATCTTAGAATAAGCTTAGCCTAATGCTATGCTAGAATTAGGTTATCCTAATGCTGTCTTAGATTTAGGTTAGCCTAATGCTATGTTAGAATTATGTTAGCCTATGGCTATGTTAAATTAGGTTTGCCTAATGCTATGTTAGAATAAGGTTAAATCCTATGCTAAAATAGTTTAGCCTAATGCTAGGTTAGAATTAGTTTAGCCTAATGCTATGCTAGAATCAGGTTAGCCTAATGCTATGCTAGAATGAGGTTAGGCTAATACTGTGCTAGAATTAGGTTAGCCTAATGCTATGTTAGAATTATGTTAGCCTAATGCTATGTTAGAATTAGTTTAGCCTATGGCTATATTAGAATTAGGTTAGCCTAATGCTATGCTAGAATCAGTTTTGGCTACTACAGTACTAGAATTAGGTTAGCCTAATGCTATGTTAGAATTATGTTAGCCTAATGCTATGTTAGAATTAGGTTAGCCTAATGTTGTGCTAGAATTAGGTTAGCCTAATGATATGTTAGAATTATGTTAGCCTATGGCTATATTAGAATAATGTTAGCCTAATGCTATGTTATAATAAGGTTAGCCTAATGCTATGTTACAATTAGTTTAGCCTAATGCTATGCTAGAATTAGGTTAGCCTAATGCTATGTTAGAATAAGGTTAGCCTAACG